TACGAATATTCATTCCAGGGTGTCTACAAAAACAGGCTGGCCAAAAAATAAAAATCGGTCCTTTTTCATTGCATTTCTAAGAAATTCGGTACCTCATCAACGGAAAAATTCAGTACTTTGTCAGTACCTCCAATTGACGAAATTCGGCAAATTTAAAAAAATTGAATTTCCCGCTCAAATTGCGACAAAAATGAAAAAGTTCCGGACCATCTTGCGGAATTCCGCTCTTTATCAGTACTTCCGGACCACCCTGAAAAAAATCAGTATTTTTTCCGGACTTTCCGGAAATTCCGGACTTGTAGACACCCTGCATTCTGATAGATGCTCATTGACTAAAATTTCACGGAGAACACGATTGACGCAACGAAAATTACTGAAATCAACTCCTTATAAAGATATTAACATTTTTATTTTAGATTGGTTGCGGGAAATTTGACTTACTCGCTCAGAAAAAAAAAGCAATGGTCTTCCTACGTCAAGTAGCGCACTACAACGGTTTTGGCAGGCTTCTTAATCAAACAGTGTTCCCTCCCCGTGCCGTGTTGTTCAAAGTGTTACAAACGTGCGAAAGATAAGCCGAAGTATCGAAATTGGGGCTGTTATGTTTTCATACTGCAGAGACTGCCGCGGTAAAGTTCAGTTCGCGATTTGACTCACGAGGACTTTCGTTTTTTCAAGAGCAGGGGGTTCAAAATCACGCGTCAAGAAATATTGAAAATATCTCCGTTAGAAGTTAGTTGCATGCGGATAGCTCATGTGAAAAATAGGCAGCGCTGCACCTGTGGGCGCAAGTTACATAACTGAGCAGTTGATTGAATGGGTTAGCTCTTGGCTCGTTGTCCGTGTACGCAAAGCAAAAGTCATGCGTAAAATTCTACCGGCGCTTGTGAGGCTGCTCTCCTCAGGAATAAAGTTAGGTAATCTTCGAAACTGAAAAAAGAGTACGGTAAATATAACCAGATGATATGGTGCATTCTACCAAGAGTTTTCCCGGGACCCTTTTTTCGACGAAAAGTCCGTTAAGTATACCTTGCGACATCCCCCTCACCCCCCGTGGGAATCTGTCACCAGATGGAGTCACGGACCAGCGGACTGATTAATCAAACTGATATTTAGATAAAGCGATAGACAAAGAGAAAATGGAGCGATCCTATTGGTGGAAGCAGGTAATTGCAATGTCCAAAGGAGGTAAGTAATAGACTAACAAATGGCAACCCATCATGAGGAACCATTTCTTTAGCCCATCATTTACTCCCTTAGGTCATTCATGTAAGACCACCCGTTTCAGCAAATAGGCTCGCTGCATACTTCTTTACCTATTGCTTCGTCTATCGAATTCAATAATCAGCCCGCGGTTCGGCAATGGATAATTGAGCTGCTCTCAGTGCTCTGTGAAAGGGAACATAACTTGAAAAGGGACTTCACTTGATCAAGACGCAATATAAATGACCTCCGTGTAGTGATATGTTTGCAGCACCGAACTCGGTGGTTGGAACCAACTCATGTCTGAAATGCGGGTTGCTATTTCATTTATTTTACGAGGCCTGAAAAGAGCGCTCGGTCTCACAACGAACCGACAGCCGAGGGACTTCCGTCCTTTGAATTCTCGCAAGAGCCGGGCGGCTGACAAACATGGGCCGATTTAAGAGGAAAGTACGGATTCGATCGACGGGAATCGATCGAAAAATAAAAACAAGGATCGATCGATTATTAAAAAACCGGTGTTGATTCGATCGACATGAATCGTTCGAAAAGTTAAAACTTGAACCGATATACGTGAACACATCGAAAACCGCGAGTGGATCAACAAAACACGAGCTCACGGCTCACGGAGTTGTCGTTCGAAAACTCCATGAATCGTTCGAAAAACCCGCGAATCGATCGATTTTTGGCGATCGAATCGGTGTCGATTTGTTCACGTTTTCATTTTTAGATCGAATTCTAATTTTCAATCTAACAGTTTTCCTGTCGCATTTAATTTTTCGAAAAACGAATCATCATCGTTTCTTCTCTGAATTCCGTATCAATCATATCGAGATTGTTCTTCGAAAATTTCGCACTTTAACGTCAAAATAAGTTTTCCCAAACAAAAAACAAACAAAATTCAAACAAAGGACGACTCATTAAACTTGATTAAAGGAAACTCTAAATATCAAACACAAACACCTAATTTTTTTGGCGATTTCGAGGGCCGACAGCGTTGAAATACATTCAAATGATGCATTTCTCAGAGAATTAAAAATGTCCTGATAAAAATCAGTTATCTTCATTGGCGCAAGAGGCAACGCTGGAATTAAGTTCAGGGGCACGAGGAACAGTCAAAGCTACAGTTAGTGTGGACGGATACTAAACACATATCATTATAACGCCTGGATGCAACTATTCGGGATCCGTGGATGTCCGTGTTGCATACGCACGGAGTTGAAGGCGTTGTGCCCTCAAGACACTAGCCGCCTTACCAGCGCACAGCGGCGTTCAATAAGAGAGAGTCAATAAGAGAAGGCATATGAGATGTATAAAAATTAAAAGCTCGTATATAATTAATAAATAATACGAAACGTGGAGGTTTTAGGAGTGGTTTCATTGATTTCCTTGTAAATTTTCCTTCAAGAGGAACCCGATTCAATTTATAAGTAACGTGAAGAAATAACGTCAAAATCTGCGGTTTAAAACGATGATTTCATGTCCAACCTTCCTGAAAGGGAGTGTGCGGTGAGCTTTCCTGTGAGGATCTAAAATGACCAAGTGCCTTCAATTCTTTTTTTCCACTTCAGTCTCTTAGGCATGAATAGTCGCTCAACCAATCATGCTCAGAACACCACGATATCAAACCTGAAGCACAGAAGATATTCACATCTACGCCTGTATGAAACTATGCGTGCCTAGGGGATATCTCTGTAATAAAAACGAAACATTGAAAGCGATCTGCCATTTTGGGTCCTCGCAGAGGTGATTGCCTCGACACAGGGACGTAAAAACGCCTTCAACTATGTGCGTATGCAACACGGACATCCACAGAGTCCGAATAGTTGCATCCAGGAGTTGGAATGAAATGTGTATGGTATTCGTTGCATTTGTCACTAACTAAGGGCGCTTTGCTTATTACCCATCCACCAGAACAGAATTCCAGCAATGCTTAGGGTGCCCATGGGGTAAACTATTCCTTATTTTAATGATGACATTGTCAATTTTCCGAATATTGGTTGGATTCTTTAAGTGTACAACAACGTTGCCATCCTAAAAAGTGGGTCGCGGCCCTTTTGTAATCGCTGACAGTGCCTTGGAAAATTTCATGTATTTATTGATTCAGAGTACTGCAGACTTTCATGGTCATCATAATTTCATGCAGAAACATCATTGGTTTCAGAATTGCAAAATTTTACACAAGTTTTTATCTTAGCAAAATGTACTCACTTGCTGGGAAATTTTTGCAAAAACAATGATGAACTGATGACCTGGTCACCTTCTAAGGAAAAAGAACTTTAGTGGATACTTTAGAACACCGCATTCCTAATTCAGGTTCTTCACGTAGTATTTTTTTAACTAATTTGAGGAATTTTAAGAAGCAGGGGATGTCATTCTCAGAACATTAAGGAACAACCAACCAAATGATACCTGCAATCCATCTGACGCAATTCCAGAGACAACTAATCATTTTGCTTTTAAAACAGAACCTATACAAACAACGTCTTGACAATGTCTACAACTTTCAAATTATTCCACACAGTTCCTACTTATCCTTTCTGACACTCTCAATTTCTACCTAGAAAATATCCCTCGGGAGAATTTTTCTCCAAACGTAACACTAAGTAATACTGAGAACATTTTTCAGGTCATCTAGGATTATAAAATGTTGAGCCCCTTGAGACAACAAACAACTGGGAACTAAGAACATATATATCTCACTTTCTTCTGAGAATGTATGGCTTGTAGTGACCACGTTAAGGTGAGCCTTATGAGAACCAGATTTTAAGTTTCATAAGAGAGCTACAACTTCACATGAATGAAATGGTCCATAGTTACTAAACCATTGATCTCCATAGTTAGGTACTTGATGAAGGCCTCTTACTAGTACGAGAATTCGAAAAACAAAAATTAAACAGGGCCAGCTCCAACAGGCTACTTAACAGATGGTATTTAGCAGTTTCACCGGCATTTACAAGATGGTGAGGTTTTTTTGGAGCTAACTGTACGGCAAAAGCACGAAAGACATACATTAGTGGGTCAGTGGGATACTTTTACTGCTTGTCGGAGTGCTTGGTAAAACTGAGGGTGCACTCTAAAACCGATTGAAAAAACTGTAGGGATGTTATTTTAGCCACTGAAAAAGCTTTTACAAATGGAAACTTGGAAAAACTCATCAGAATAGTATTTGGAATTTCTAACTCCAAGGACCCATGGACGTATTTACATCACATTTCCTGCTTTCTATCCCATCAAGCAACATGGATTGATGATCCACCTTCATTTTAAGATAACAATTGTTCTTGGGCTTCAGTTGAAAGTTCTCACCACACAATAACGACTGCGCAATAGTATCCAAGCTTGCTTAATCTTGTATTAGATTTCCATGTGGACCTCCGATCCTTTAACTCTGCTTCGTGAAGCTCATGGGAGATAACGGTATCAACTAGGTAAAGAGAAATGTAGAATTTGAAAGGGTTAGGGTTTGGCTTGAGATGTTCATTTATCTCAATCAATTAACTGCACGCTTGAAGATCATTTACACAGCTATGCTAACGAATGGCTTTGCATAAAGAGATAGTCTTGCAAGATCACCATGATAAGGATTCTGTTTTGCTTGCTGCATTTACATATCAGAATAAAAGGATGGGGGATGTGTACAGAAACAAATAGCTTGGCAGGGAACTAAGCAAGCTTGAAGGGAGAGCAGATAAGAGAAAAGGTTTGACGAAATGGGCCAAATTGGGGAGTTCACAAGCTGAAATGACCTCTTACATAGCACAGCTGTTCATGACATGAACCATGAATGAACTTACCTGCCCACTTTCTGCCGCAGGCGAGTTTTCTGCAATGTCGTAGATCACAGGCGGAAAGCCTGGGGTTCCCAAAAGAGAAAATCCTAATCCACAGGACGGATCACGTTTATTTAAACTCACTAGCAGCTCTTCGGCCATATTCAATGGATTTGAAATTGGGGATTTCACAGATCACAGCACATTATTCACACACCAGAAGTACTGAACGAACGACTCCTCGCGAGCACTCATTTCACACCATGATAAGGGTGAAAAGTAATAACTTAATAAGAAATTGAAAGATCAGTTGCACCGATTGGTGAAGACGTTGTAAACACTGACCCGAACTCCAGGGCCCAAGCCATAACGCACGGATGCAACTAGGCTAGATAAATACCCCTTGTGGGAAAAGAAGAGGGCACTCCTTCGGATATTTGGGGAAAACGGTCTCCCCGTAAGATAAACTTGTAACAAGTAAGCATCCGACGATGCAAAGGCCAGCTCGTCACGTCGATGAAACCGACAAAAAATGCTTGACGGCGAACTTGTCAAGTGCGGAACGGAGCGAACGGGTTCCACTGCGCACACTTCCTCCTGAACTAAACAAAATTGAGTTGACTGATTTTGCTTCGCTCTTTCTATCTCTCTCTTTCTCAATGAGACTCTCGACCCTCTCGCTCTCTTTCACGGACTCGGATCGTTTCTACTATCGTATCGAATCGAAAGATCGATGTCACGATGTGATAGAATTTTTTCTCTCTCGTAAAAGGAGACCCTGGCTTGCAGTTGGCAGCTCTGATGAATACGTTATGATTCAAATTCGTGGCGCGTTTTCCTCAGGAGCGCGCAGTGCACTTTATGCTCATTTGCAGACAAAAAATTAACGTTTTAAATTGTAGACTTTTGCCTTTTTTTCGAGAACTGATTGATCAATTGTGGAAATGTTCCAGATTCCACCCGCTACAACCTCTCTTACGGGAACAGCCGCATCAGACTTGTGGGTTAAGTGGAATACCTTTTAGGTATCTTAAATCCTTGGATATGAAAATGATGTCCTGACATGCGCAGTAAAGAGAGTTGGCGAAAAGAATAAGTTGAAAAATTAAAACGTTTAAGTATAGGTAGGTACTTGTGTGAACCGTAAGAAAATTATTATCTTACGGTTCAGTAATCCAATACCGTCACAATATCCAAAGCATCCATGCCAAAGTTAGAAAATGCATGCTTACCCCTATTGGAATATTTACCTAAAAATCTCTGATCTAGTTTTATTATTATTGTGAGGGAAAACTGGTCAAAATGTCTACTTGAGATGCTGAGGGAATAATTGGGTATAAACTGAAAGTTCTGGAAGCCAAAGGACTGTTGGTAGGTTTTCATTAGGAAGAAGAAAACATGAGTAGGTATAGTGATTTGAAACATTGCAAATGGAGATGCTCTTGTTTCGGACTCCAGTCATTAAGTGTTCTCTTCATTATTAAATTTTAAAAATAGTATGGTCGAAGAAAGTGTTTTATGGGAACATCTTAATTGCAACAGGCGTTCAGTACATATAGGTAATCAAATCGACCACTTCCTAAATATGTTTCCCAGAGTTGAATCCACATTTAATCTCAGAAACGGATGATACCAAAGTTTCATGTTATAGTTTTGTAACATACTTCTTGAGTTAAAAGTAGCAAGCCTAGTCCTCCCCCTCCCTTAAATTTGGCTCTGCTCGAGAATGTCAGTTGATTCCGGAGACTTAATTTATTGTTTCCTCTGCTAACAAAAATCAAAGTTATGATGTCATTATTTTTCTCTGATTATCAAGAGAATAAACCCAGGGTCTGTTCCACAACACTAGACAGCCTGATGGAGGCGTAAGTATATGTTACATATGGAATATTTTAAAAAAGTAAATATAAGTTGTATCTTTGCGACAGATGATTCATGTTTCCTCCCAGATAAACAACTGCGAAGTAAAGAAGTGGATAATGAACTGACATATCCTGCGATTAAACTTAAGCATACAAACTCTTTAATAAATTTTCAGATTTAAATCATCAAAACTGGAAGAGAAAAGGAAATGGGTAGGGTGGAGTGCATCAGACATGGCCTCCAGCTCTAGAATGTTCAATAAGATAAGATGTTCATTGCACTATAAAAAGGATTTTATTCTGTCAAAATACAGTGCACACTAAAACAATGCAAGTTTATAAAATAAATAAAAACCTCGATAAACAAAAATTAGACAAAATCAACGATTACACGAAAAATTCGGGTCAACTTTCATATTTGTGATCACAAATATTGGGTACAGCTATACAAACATTCCAAATTAAGTAATGCAATCAATACATTGAATAATTGAGAAGAATATCCTGAAGAAAAAAAAATCCAACCGAGGTCAGACGGAGTTTTCCACTTGATGGAAATACACAATACCTAAACGTTGGTAAAATCAAAACTATTCAGGAAAGGTTCACAGTACTCTTACACTAATACTTCACTTCTACATCATGCATTTCTTCAAACCACTACTACTGACAAAGAACCTCTGGGAAAAATTCTGAGAATTCAAAGGATTTCTTGCGCTTTCAAGTTTGTATCTTAGCGACAGATCATTCATGCTCTCTCTCGGACATACAACTGCAAAATAAAGAAGTAGATAATGAACTGACAAATCTCCTGCTACTATGAGCGTACAAACTCTTTAGTAGTTTTTTTGGATTTAAAACTCTCAAAATAAGAGATGAGAGTAAGCATTGATTCCATATTTGTCAAAAACGCTTTCAGTTCACCTTCTGAATTTTATATGGATTATTTTATTTTTAAAGAAATTGATACAGGGGAAGTAGTTATTGTTCCTGAGAGTGTAGAGACAAAATGAAATATGATAAAAAAATATCAAACTATGAATTCAGGAGAATTTATTTCGTGGTTGACACGTTCATAAAACCACCGAGTTTCTACTGGCTGTACTTTAGCCTCTACTTTTGAATAATTTTACAGAAATATTTTTTAAAAAAATGCCAGGGGCAGGTACTCATTTCCTGTCATTACATTCAGTAAAGAGAACAACAAGAGAGTAAATTAATTTATCATTAATTGAAATCAGTTCAAAACATACCAAATTAGTAATCGCATTCACCTTGAAAAAAGTGGCTTAAAATGAATTAACATTATGGCTGAGAACGAGGAAACTTGCTTAAAGATCCTCAGCTAGGATCTGAAATCTGGGGAGATTGCAATAGTGCAATTGCCTTTGAAAAATGCAAGAGGGTGAAACAGAGACTGAGCATGTTGACACTTGGTCATGATGATCTAGGACAACTGAATTTTTTACTTGAGGCTTGGAATTGGATTAGAGAAAAAACCAAATTGCTACCGCCTTTCTCTCAAGAAGACTGTTCAAAAAAGCCAATACTTTCTTAAACCGAGTGATTCAGTAGTCATTAGTAAAAGGGTAAATGATATTTGGTTTCCAAGAGATTCATAGAACCTAAGATGGTTAAGCCGATCAAAAATGAATGGTTCCAAAGCTATACGATATCCGATATGATACTCTACTTCTTGACTAGTTTTTAACAAAAGAAATAATTGAAAGTAATTCACTGGAGATGACTGATCCATCCTTTGTCCTGTTTCTGTATGTCTCTAGGTCAATGAGAAGGTACGGCTAAAAAACATATTTTAGATTCTATGAGGGGAGGAAAAACTCATAAATTTAGTAGTGAGTCATGCCTAGTTTATCCTTTGAACTCTTCAGATGAAGAAAATAAAATTGCAACTCTCTTTAATTTATACCCTTGTCTCATTTTCTGCATAAAAATTTGAAGACCAAGATCATCAAGTTAGTCATTTTGAAACTGATGATACATTTCTGAATGCAAGAAAATAATGATGGTTCAAAAAGATTATCAAAAGGTTGAAAAACAAGAAAATAGTCAGCTTAGAAAAAGGGACAAAAATAAAGAACATCTCTGGGAAAAGATATAACTAAGGAGCTTGAATAGTAGAAGGCACAAAATGCAAGTAGGAGGAGACCAATCCTTTTGTTCAAAGGTTATCCATGAAATAAGGTTGTCCATCATGGCTGAAACGCTTCGTCAACACTTCAACCCCTGTATCAGTAACAAGCATAGTATGTTCGAACTGAGCGGAGAGCAATCCGTCACAGGTTACAGCGGTCCATTTGTCCGGCCAGAGTTGGTCACGGTAAGTACCTATTAAAAAGAAAGTGAAAACAGTTTTATTAAGACTTCTATTCATTCAGATAAAATAGGAAATATGCTAAACTCACCAATGAGCTCTATGAGACTTCCCAGTTAGAAACCCAACAGACGTTTTGTTGGACTTTGGAGGAATTACCCGGAGACTTGCCGCGTCATCCGATCTCTAGAGGTCAGAAAGCTGGAGAGCAAACCCATGACTGCACAAAGGTGCGGCGAGATGGTTGCAAGTCATAAAGTAATCCTCAGAGCTCTCTACTCAATGTTCCTCCAGCGAACTCACTGATGAGTTTAGCAACGCACCAGTGCTTTGCCCTTGTTTATAATTTGGTTTTGGAAAAATTCAAACTGCTAAACATATTTAGCACGAACTTTCAATTATCAAACATGTCTTGTGATAGTATCATTCTTACTATGTCTCATGAAATAAGGAAAAAAGTCAGCTGAGTAGAATTTTCTACAGAGGCATGCTGTTTGCTGCGACGCTAGTGTCAACTTATCGGAGGACCAATGTAAATGCTTCTAGTAATTGGTCCCATTACGTGCGCGTTGCAGCCTCCTGATTATTTGCTTCCACTCTTAGAGCTTAAGAGACATCATGAAGTCGTTTCTGAGATTGAGAAAATGTTTATGGCGACAATGAACACACACCCTATTAGATGTATCAAAATGTTTAGAAGCTGCATGCTTAACTCAGCGAGATATTTAAAAGTTCTCAGGGATCGGGATCAAGAATACACGAAATCACACTATGTTAATGAAGGGACCAATTAGTCCTAGAAAAATTCTGCAGTTGCCTATCTGCAGGGAAGCAAAAAGTTCAGAAACAACAACATTTACTCGCAATATCGCATTTCTGCCTTAATGCGAAACTGGGAATTTGGCTCACTGTTGATACTCAACAACCCTCAAATTTTCAAGATGTCTACTGGAAGATTAAGATTTTTCCTAACATCCAGGGATTTATCTCATAGTTTAAACATGTCACAGGTCATAAGATTGTTCAATGTTAACAAGTTATTGCTTATCGAATAACACATAGATAACATTATCCACCACGGTAGAGGATGCCATGATTTCTTGCACCTTGTTTCATCCGTGGTTTACTTCGAGCAACCAGTGCAGATATATGTGAAAATGACTCATGAATCCAAAGCAGAAGAAACCATGATATGCACTACTGTGGTGGATGACTTCATACCCTGTGTTTTTTGATGAACAATATCTCCGTCAATATTGGACACAGATCTTTGGCAATTGAACAGCTCTTGTTATTTTTTGCTAACGGTGTGAGCTGCGCAACTGACTAATTGGAGTTAGTTAAATCAATTATACAAGACTTACCTTCTGAAATCATAGGTTCGATGGTGAAACAATGGCCAGGTCTCATGATTCCCACAGCTTTGTTCCGTGCATAGTGGGGAACGCTTGGAGCACAATGAAAGAGACGATGAATTCCATGGCCACAATAACTTAAAACAACAGAGAATCCTTTTGATTGGGCATACTTCTGGATCACATTGCCAATTTCTCGATACTTTTGACCCGGTTTAACTGTATTAAAAACAATCAATATTAATTTTTTTTGTTTTGTTTGTTTTATATAAGGAGGCAAACTCTGTACAACTGATGTGAGATAATTTTACATCGATAATTTTTTTTTTTACTTCCATAACTTATTTCTGAAAGGACAGGATTGTGGCATTTTTTCACAAGGTAGGTTTTATGAGGTTAATTGAGCCTGAAATACCAAACTGCTCAAGGCACAAGGCTGACATTCAAGCTAATTTAATTAAGATGCATCCTTTGCTAAGGTAAAGGTGCACCTTTCCCGTACGAACGATTAAAAATAAAGAGCCATTCAAAAATAGAGATTAAAATTCAAGATCAAATAACGTTAGCAGCAATCTTATAATGAGTCCTTGACTTTTTACTGATTGAAGATTGGTTATGGATTTGGAAATTTGACATTTGTAACATCAGAGGACATTTACAAAGTCCAATTTCAAGTGGCAACTTTTAGGAAAGCTCTGCATAGGGTTTTTGTGATCCATTTTCGATCCACAAAAAGGCTCATGCTTTTCATAATATTTTCGAAATACAAATCTAATCTTAAATTTTTAACCCTAATTTTGAATGGGGGACCAACATTTCATTATGTTTGTTATAAATTCAAACTTGCCTGTTACATTTTTAAGTTTTGTAAAATTACAATTATTCAATGAGCCTTCTTTAGAAAATTTTAAAGGGGAGAGTTGCAAAGTAATTAAAAATTATGTACAGCTAAACTGATATATTTTAATTCCTGGACAGAGGCTCCAAATAATTGGAGGGGATAAGAGGGTAAAAAATAATAATTACCAATTTTGATAGCTTTATCTAAACACTCCCAGGTGGTTTGAGTAAGTTTTCTGGCGGTATCACTCACTTGACCTAAGAGGAAAGTCTCATTGAGATCTCCATGAAAACCTCTGTGGTAGACGGTAACATCCACTGAAATAATAAATTGGAACAAATCATTACTAATTAGACTAGGGATAACTATCAGAAAAAGAGTTAGCGTTTTCACACCTATATTAGGAGAACATAAAACCTTGCATGAGAGAGACGAATCATAAAATATTGGTAGGCGATTAGTATTCATACAAGTGCAACTGCAATGCTGGCACTGTGCCATATGATGATTTCAGTGCAGGCTGATGGGCAAGCGCCATGTAATGGTTCCAATTTTTTATTTTATATTCAAGAGCAGAAACAATGCACCTCAGAACAAGCTTGCGATCGAAGTCCCTAAAACTCCAGCAAAATTTTAATTGATTGATTAAAATGATAGATGGATGAACTGTGCAAAGTTCAATGAATATTTGATTTGCTCAGGATATAAATTTTTTTAGGTTTATTGGCCTCATCATTGCCATTGCATTTGCTAGCTAAAAACTTGATTGCTTGAATTAAATTCCAAAGAACTAGCGACGGAGAGAAAAGCGACCATGATTTACAACATTTTAAGAGAGCAGCAACAAGAGGACATGACACCTTCTGAGTGTGGAATACTGCTGTGACTGAAAGAAAAAGGAACTGAGGGACTCCGACACTAGGAAAGAGGACACATCTTTTCCTAACAGAGTAGGCTATATTCAATGAATGACAAAGAGAAAGAGTGGAATCTCAGTTCACACCTTAAGACTAGGCCACCTGCTGCAGCGGCAAACAGCGAAAGTACAGGAATGCCTGTGGATAATGTAAAAATCTCTCTAAAAGAAGACAACTTTGGTGTCAATTCTTTTATCACGGAAAACATTACCATCACTATCTTTCATTTCCCAAAATTGGTAGTATTGGTTCTTTTCCGATTCAAGAAGTTTAACCTAATCACCGCCAACGTTTCCATGCACAACTGTATCTGTCAGGCCAGAAATGACACACAAAGAAAGAGAGAAAACTATTAACAATTTTTCCTGCCCAAAAAGCAGCCAAGGTACTTTTTCCAATGCCTGGTTGAGGGAAAACATACTCAGATTCCTCTGGGTGAGGAATACAATTTGGTATAAGAGAAACAATTACGAATAATTCAACAGTTGCTAACCATTGCATAAATCACCATTCTGGAGAGGCCGAAGGTCAGGTATACCATGGCAAATCACCTCATTGACTGAAGTGCAACATGAGCGGGGAAACTCATAATAGTTGAGAGGAGAGGGATAACATTCACGTTCAACACATGCTTCATGAACGATTTTGTCAATAGTGTCAGTCGTGACTCCAACTTCCATTGCTTTCGCAGCTTCATCCAACACCTCTCGGCCCAGCTAAAATTAAACAAATGGATCATGGTTATGTCAATATCAAAGAGAATGTTCAAATTCATGAAAGTTGGTGGATCTAAAATTTCTGCTATTTAAACACAAATCTGTCATAATAAATAGTAATCCATGTAAACCATGAAAACTAGTTTAAATAGAAACAAAATTGCTAAATCCAAACATATCTCAAATTGGAATTTGAATATTCATAGTTCCCAGAGATTTTGAAGATAAAATTCTCTGATTTTTCGATGTTTTTTTTTCCTCATGATTTCTCCGGAGAATTCGTTCCGTGAAGAATCGAGCAGTCTCTAGAAGTTGAGAAAAATGCTATGTTTTTGTTTGGTCCTATTTTTTTTTAAAACCTACTGTAAGAGTAAAATGAGGGTGAAATCAGATGTTTCATTACTCGTTTGCTTTGCAACAAAGGCAATTCATTGTGAATTATTAACTAATTTATCTGCTAATGATTTTATTGTTGCTTTAAAAGGTTCATTTCCAAAAGAGGAGTCCCGATATTTCTTTTGATATTTATTTGGTTCATTGCAAAACTTTTATTCGCCCTGATAAGGAATTACATGATATTTTGTCCTTGCTTTCTCAGAATGAGACATTTCCAAATGTTCTTTCCGGTAACTCTATATATTCACATTTTATCTTCTTACCCTGCAGGCGACTCTCATGCCCTCAATTTCTTCATCATTCAAGATTTTTATTTGGGTAGAGGATTTAACTTCCTGTTCAGAGTGGGATTCGCCCCTAGGATGGGTGGCATAGTCTGGTCGACCGATATGGGCAGGCACCGTCCTGGGAGCCGTTTGAGGGTACGGCCTTAATCTACCTGCAAAAATCAAATAAAAGCTTCATTAAAATTTCTTAATACTGTTACTACATTTTTGAGCCAGATCTACAGCACCTACAAGAACGATTTGATGGTCAATCAATCGGCGAAAGATTTCTAGATTTTAGGATATATTTGTAAAAATCCCTTACGACATCATACTGCGGTACACTGGGTACTCATATTAAAAATTTGATCCAAGGTATATTCTTGAATATTTTCGAAAGTACATTCTTCATGAATATTGCAAATCATTTTGTCTTTCCTTTAGCAATATGCATTTGGAGTACATTTTGAAATTAGGAACTTCAATTTCTGGCTTAACTGTGAAAACAGTTGTGGGCAAGGGAAAACTAAAAGTACTTCATGTGTTGCTTTCAAACTGAGCCAGATATTGTGGTTCCCATTTACAAACTGCAGTCCATTTGAGGCTTACTTTCAGAGTTTTTTTTTTTTTTTTTATGTTCCTTGATCAAATCTAGTGTGCAAATACCACAGATTACTTTATAAAATGGAAATATTTTATTGCCCTGCACACAACTATAAGTTGAAAATTTAATAGTGCTAACCGAAAAATTGCCTACATTGAAAAAATAGCAGTGGGAAAAAAATGTTGCTCTCAACTGCTAATTGAAATCAAAATTGAAGATCGGAATCATACATGAATATTATCAGACATTTCATTCGAACTCACGTTGGAATTTCAAATTTTTAAAAGAGGAATATTTTTCAGACTATTAGAATTCAGCAAATATCAATTAGAATTTCAAGCTACTAGTTTCAAAATTGAAAGCTAGGGTCGATGCCTGGATGCTTTTCAGAGGAGCAATTGGTGATGGTTGGTTGCTCTGCATTCCCACCACGAGAGAATCTCCTCACGTTCATGTAAAGTGCATAGCGTGGAGAAAAAGAGTTACTGCCCCTAACCTTTGGCAGGTCGAAGAACTCAGATAGTACCGACTCTGTGAAAAAATATTATCAAGAACTAGCAAAAACTGTAGACTGGGTTTATCAGAGACATGAAAGGGAAATGAAAAGAGTTGGCCAAAGGTGAGAGAGCAGAAAAGATTACATCCAGGAAACTTGGGAGAAAACATGCACATCCGATTTTAAAGCAACCTGATTTTGATGCATCCACAATGCTTTTTTCAGCAAATTAAACATCCATGGCTACAGTTGAACAATTTGTATCGTCAATTGCAACATTGTAAATTGCTACCCATGGTTTTTTTAATTAAAAGAAAAAAAAGAACAAAGACCGGTTCTTTGAAGAAAGGAAAAAATTCTGTGGATAGTTTTCGCTTATTCTAAAAATTTAAGGAAATATTCAATTAGAATTCCAATAAAAAAAAATTAGAAAAAATCATCAGAAATTAGATAAAATCATCATCAAAGATTTTGAGATGTTTTAATGGAGAAAAGGCATTTTTGACCTAGTCGATGCATGAATAAAATGTAATAAGTAGAAAATTTTCCGGTTATATGAGAGAGAAAGAAGAAAATGGGGGAGAAAGGAAAAATATAAAAAAGGTGCCCTTTGATTGAGATTAGAAATATTACCTGTAAACCTGTAATTTGGCCATGGATCATACCCATTAACAACTCCTTTCACACTTTCACCTTCTGCAAAAAAAAAGGAAAAAAAACAACTTTTGTTACTAGAAAAAAAATACCCAAAAAACTGAAACAGCTGCGATGTCAGCTCCTACATTTGAATATTTCACTTATGAAAGGGCCTCAATGGCCTTATGATTCCTGGTTTTCTTCCTCTATAACAACATCTTGGTTTTGCGAGGTGTTGATCAGGAGCTTTTTCATAAATAAATGGTTAATATGAGAGAAGCACACACAAATGATTCAATAATAATGTATTAAAGGGACCGAGTAATGGCTGTATGATGGATATGAGATGGTATTATACATAGATATTTTATCTATTTTCTTTTTTTTTTTTTTTTTTTTTTTGCTTTCACCTAATACTACCAGGGTTTACTTAAAGTAACCTTCTCCTGATTGAACATTTTTACAAATTAAAACTTTCTTCCACACGTATTGTCAAACGGAGTTCTTACAAGTATCAGGATTTTGCAATTTCAGTTCATTATCTTGTTTGAAATTTTGTGAGAAGCATAATGATGCTACTGATTTTCTCTGGAAAAAAAAAAAAAAAAAAAAAAAAAAAACTCCTAGGCTCAAAATAGTTTGTAAAGTTGAGGTCTTGATTAAGATACAAGTTTTTTGAAGTTCATTATTGACATTGATGCAGTTTCTTTGATTACTTGAGGAGTGCTTAGTACTTATGAGTGCACACAGAGCAATACAATGGGCATTATAATTTCTTTTGGCTGCAATGTCTGAAAAAACCAAATGTATGCAGCAAAAGGATTGTTTGCAGATTTAGACTTTTCTAAAAATACTACTTACTTGCTAAGAGGTGTAAAACTTTGTGGTTTTTCCAATTTCCCTTGAAACAATCCTGCAAAAAAAGAGGAAACAAATTAAGTAAAGAGTAATTTTTGTCATTTCTTCTCACAATTAATTTCTCTGCAGAGATAATTAAGAAAAAGGGTCAACAGGCTTACGGATTTTATGTGAAATCAGAGAAAACATTTTTTCAGTGCAACATAAAAAATTGTGAGGTTGCACAGAGTTAAAAAATTATTCCCTTCTGTTTTTCTACGCAATATGAAACTACATCACTCGGTGTCCCACTTCCTCACTTTTTTTGAGAGAATGGAAAATTAGGGGAGGACCCAGAACGGCTCATGCTGAAATAAATAAGATAGCAAAACGGAAATATTTGTAGAGAAAAGCAAAAAAAAGTCATTAAATTTTGATTCCTCCCTCCCACTTTTTTACGCCTTCAGCTGTCAGCCCACACCACAGCTATAGAAATCACCGGTAAAACGCAGATGAAACAAAAGGAGAGAGCAAAGAGAACAGGAATTGAATCCTCAGTTTTTCTTTTTTCTCCCTCCAAATAGAGTGACATTTCTCAATCCATGGGTGCCTTACGTGTGGTTGTCAACATTTTAATTTTTGTATGCCTCAATAAGTAGGCACAAAATGTTTTCAAAGTACATGTGAATCAAAACAGAAAGATTGAAAAAATTGAGGGGGGTGGATTTGAGGTTTCCAGATAAGGGGGAAATGCAAAGGCCATGACGAGAGAATAAAAGTTCCTGTTCACATTTATGTGTGAACTCAATTAGCGATAAGCGGTAAAATTATAGACTTTTTGTTGTTAGAAGATAAATGAGAGTCCAGTTATCAAGCTAAATTTAATTCAACTAAATAAATATGATAGCATTCTCAATTTGGAAAGAATTAGATAAGCCAAGCTGATTACACATCTTTGTGTCCCTCTCAAACGGAATAAGGTCAGGCAAGAACCAGATAAAGCAGAGAACGGAAAAACTGATAAATATTTGAAACAGAAAAGAGGCAATCTCATGTATTTATCATTTCCAAGGAGAAAACGATCAGCTTTTCCTACTTTAAATACCTGAGTAAGTAAACAACAGGTGCAAGTTCAATGTAGATCAATGAAATTTGTTGTCACTGAAAATGTGTAGTTCTCATTGCTTTTGAGCTGTCATCCAGTTTTGTAAGATTTTACAGAAATAGAATTTTCTGTTTTTGGTTTGACAGGGGGCTGACAGGGTGGGAGGGGAAAGGAGTCAGCCGAAATGGCTTACTTAATGCTTGAACAACCCTTAATGAGGGGAATGAAACAAACGTGTCTTCCAACCATTTTCACAAAAATCAAATGTCATTTCCTAAAATGTACAGATGGATTTAATAAAAAGGAGAAAAGAAATTAAAAAACCACAGCAGCCATGTTCTTTACTTGATTATAAAATTGACTTTAGATCCCTGCAAATATTTATACAGTATTTTCAAAACCTCCGACATCCACTTTTACCGACCCATATAACTCCATGTAGTTCAGTAACAACTCCCTCCCCCCTCAAAAAAAAAAAAAAAAAAAAAAAAAAAAAAAAAAAAAAAAAAAAAAAAAAAAAAAAAAAAATCCGTGGAACAACAAGGCAGCTAAAGGAAAAAAGAAAGTAAAATCAAATGATCTTCATTTTTGGTTTTGATGAAATTTTTTCCTCAGTTATATGCTCTCATGTTGAAAACAAGTAGAGAAAAACAACTTTGTAAACAGAAAAATAAATAAATATTGACAACTGAAGGTGAGTTATAAAAAAAGATTAACTGTGATGCTCAACAAGGAAGAATGCATGACCTTCTTCACATTTTCCTCCTACGTTTTAAAGTAAATACTTTTAATGAAGATAAAATATTAGAATGTTAGAGTACATTTTAAGTAACAACAGTACTCGAGCATTATATGAGAACTCAATGACCCAATTTAGATGACGCAAAACTGCATCAATTATTCCCGTAAAAGTATGTAATATCCACTTGAAAATTGACAGGACTATGACATGAGAAGAATGAAACACTTAGGCATTATGGTCGGCCTTTGGGCAGGCGTTGTATTCCAATATAATGGTCATAGTTGTACCAAAAGTTTCTTGATGATAAGATATTTCACCTAATCCAAAAAAATATCAATGGATTTTTTCATCCAAATTTTTTTTTGTTGCCAAAATTAGTTTGGTAGGACTGAACAGTTTCACTCAAATATTAATCCATCTAAAAGTTTTTGCCATTTTGCGCAGTGTACAGGTCTTATTCCTTAAGAAACAAGAAAATGAAAGAGGGTAAAAGCTACAGATGACTGCTAGCAAGTTAAATTCATGCTACTATGAGTTCTGAAAATGTAATTGTTTGACAATAAAGCTTATCTTATCTGATTCTATTCTAGATGAAGGCTCATGAACTAATAACGCAAAATATCAAAAGCATAACCACTTTCTTTTAGGGAGAATCATGCCTCTTTTATTACTTTTTGTGGCAACAGTTTTTGAAAGAACATACCTAAAATAGATGTACTAATATACACTATGAGACAATATAACAAGGTGGAGAAATGGTGCTGGGTCCATCCACACCATTTCGCCGGGAAAACAAAGCCAAGAATAACAAAAATTAAAATTAGAGTCGAAATTACATTTTTTGAACTCTAATGCTTACCAGTACGAAACTGAGGCGGGAGAGTTCAAAAAATTTAATTTTGACTCTAATTTTAATTTTTGGAATTTCTTGGCTTTGTTTTCCCCGCAAAATTTTGTGGACCCAGCACCATTTCTCCACCTTGTTACAGACAGTTCCGGCCACTTCTTAGTGTTTCTTTTTCATGATATAATATATATTGTGTGCAACAATATGTAGACTTAAAAATGGGCAATTTGTCCACCAACAACGTAGGAGTATGGGACCATTATCATAGAATCAGACAGCCAACAACGATTCCCATCCATAACAGGGGAGCAATTATGACTATCGACTAGTTGTCAACCTTTAAATACTTACTAATTGTACTTTCAGTTTAAATTAACAACTTTATTTTTGGGTTAGCAACTTTTAATTTGAGTTGGCAACTTTAAAATCACATCCCCACTGGTTAAATTAGGTACACTATGTCGTCAAATTTCATTTCACGCATTGTCTTGATGGACAATTTCATTGCAAAATTGCAATTTGTGGGGAAACATCATAAATGGTTCTATTATAGAAGTCCTTCTTTAAAAATCACTTTACTCTTGATTAGAAATTCATATCTTTCCAAAAGCAAAGTCAAGAATGAGAAAAAATTGCCCGCTCCTGTCTACCTGAGACGTCTTTCATAGGTGACGTTCAAGTTTAATCCTGGTTGAGAATCTTCCATGTAAAATCAGTGTCATCAGTGATCTGTACACCTATATTAAACTTTCAATAATGATATTTTTATAATACTGCAAGGGCAACCTAGCAACCTAGGCATGGGAGAGTTTAGGGGGTAGCGTTAGTTGGTTAAAAAACAGCCCTATCACAGATCGACGGTGTAAGTCAGCAATCACATAACTCAGTTTGCGATGTCACAGACTTCCTTTCAATGATGAATTTTCTTCTCTGTGCGAAGAAAATTCTGCATAAACTTTAAGGAATGATGTCAATTTGTTCTGCTTTAAAAAAATAACAAAGAGGTGGAGGTTTTCAGACACCGCAAACAAGATGTGTGATTGCAGACTTACGCTGTCAAGATGTTCACCCTTGATAGGTTAATTCTGTAGAGCGTCTCGCTGACCTCTGGCGCTTGCCCTCTACCCACCTTCAACATAAGAATGGCAACACTGGAATGAAGTAAAAGTGGTTTTGGATTATAAGCTTGTCAGGAAGCATTTAGGGGCAATCAAGAACTAAGGACATCTGAAGGAACAAAATGTAAGTCAATTCTTCTTTAAAATCCTCGTTTACTCGCTTATATACAGAAGGAGAGGCAATGTTGAGTCTACATCAGGCGAGCCACTTCAAAAAGTCAGATATACTACCTAGTGAGGAATAGAGACTTAAAAATATCCAAGCTGGACAAGTCAGCACTATTATGATGACCTCTACCAGAATACCATTCTTGGCAAAACCTAAATTACAAATTAGGTGAGAGAAAGATAATTCTTGATTGATAAAAATAGTGACATAAAATTATTTTGTATAGTTCAAGGTACAGTTCTCGCAGCATAGCATAGACATGTAGAGAGGAGACGCAAGCAGGATTACGTCTAGGTGCAGCTCAAACCATTCCTTAGCCCTAGCGCACTCATCAGGCACAAATGCAGAGATACATTTAGCGCTTCCTATTGGATAAATTGTAAAGGTGATATCCCTTTTCTGGTGACATAGAGCCCTAGTTTAATCGGCAAGTTCAACAAATGTGAACACACAGGTTGTGGATGATCCGAAGGCATGTGAGCATCAGCCTTTCGATTTATTGCTGCTTCGAACATTCATTAAAAGAAAGATTTGAGAGAAAATTATACTTGATCTTAAAAGAAGATCAAACGTCCAGAAGTATATTTAAAAACCTGACCAATGAATGGAAAATTGGGTGCGAACGAGGGTGAAATGCCATGAGGCATGATAGCATACCTGGGAGCAGAAGTAGGAGCCTTGGATTCCGAGTTGAACGCAAGTCGGACATTGTAGTTTTGCATCTAGATCACAGCCAGGTGTTTCACAACTTCGATTGATTTTGATGGCAGCCATGGATGAAGTTTCAGATTAAAATTCACGGTTTTACCAAAATTTCTTAAACTTTGAAACCTAACCTCGCAGGTGTGGGATGATAAAAGAAAAATATAAACAACAAAAACGAGTCATATGACTGCGCATGCTTGCCACCACAATTTCCTTAGTGGCAAATTCCTCGTTAGTGAAGCGACTGAGGTATTTTATCAGATTCCTTTCTTCAATCGGAAAGATACCCGTAGAAAAAATAAAGAAAAATTTAGTGACTGATTCATACCCATTTTAACGTAGCGTGTACTTGTTAAAAATGTGTATGCCTGAGATAAGGGTTGCTTGTTTACAAAAGGCGAAGACGTGTTGGAGTTTGGAGTTGGCATGCGGGTGAGCACGCATTCGAAAGTTTGTTTATGTGTTCTAAGGATTCTGATTGGCGCTTTATGACCTTCGTTAGACAAAATACTCTCTGATTGGTGGAATTGTTTGTTTACGTGCAACTTGCCTCGTTCCCCTCACGCAATCGCGTTGATAAAAGATCCCTCATCCCCCTAAATTCGTCAAAGTGTTCTTGGTCTTGCGTCTCGTCGCTTGTGCGTCTCGAATTATTACTCACGATCGTCCGATCGGTCCGATCCTCTTTGAATTAGCAAGTTATTAAGTGTTTCCTTCCATTATCTAACTGAGTCTAATTACGTTGCATTGCCAGTGATTGTTCTATGTGCTGTGCGTAACCTCAAACTCACCTTGGCTCGTGAACTTATTGAATAAACTTTCGAAGTTTGAAATCATGGCCCAAAACATGAAGAATGTTTCCAAACTCCCCATCTTCTCTCAAATCAGGAGATCCATCTCCTCCACTGCTGCCAAGTGCAAGGAGCTAAATACGCTAAATGCACAAGCTGCCACAGAAGAAATTGGTAAGCTTATTTACAACCCGCTACTCACCTCATTTGTTGCATCACCGACACCCACCCTTAAAATTAGAGGAATACAGGAGCAATTGAAGTCCGTTGTTTCTATAAAGCGAAACTTTCTCCCTCTGATAAATCTTAACACCATGAGGTCATGTTCAGCCAGCCACAAACGCTTTATCAGCTGGTGGTGAGAAATGCGGATAGGTGTCGGATTCTGCAATTCATCCCCCAAATGTTGCCATCTATAATTTTGATCTTTGCAGAAAAGCCAAAGTTTGAGGCGTCCACATTTTATTTAAATTGATTGTCAAATCCAGCATTGACATATCCCCGTCAAATATTTTCCTCTAGCTCATACTTTTTCTCTTGCCCTGTCCATCGCTCTTGTTCTATTTTACACGTACATACTCCCAGTTAAAGTAGTTACTCATCTCCATTTATTCATTCATTATGTTATTTTTTTACCTTTCCAACAGCTTTTTCATGGATGCGCAACGCACATCTTTTCCATTTTGCATGTAATGCTCAAAGACTGTGGTCCAAATATTGAAAATGTACAGAAACAAAACATGAGTTCTTTAAGATGATCAAAGTTGACAGGAGACAGCGTCTCAGTTTCCAAAACTGAAATTTGTTAATCGCAAATGTAATCTAATAGGGAAAGTAATTCGGTATGCTCTCTCTCTTGGGTATGATTTCTATCTTCTCTAATTCACAAATTTATTTTTTACCTGGGAAATGTTTGAAAATTTTAACATTCAGCAGTTGTCCACCACTAACTTTTTTCAATTCCTTGTAAGTAGATTAACTTGTCATGAAGTGCCAGTATCAATGTCATTCATATTTATTAGGTTCCATCTATACAGTCCCCCATATAGTATTTGTTTATTCCATGTATTTTCTCATAAATTTTTTATTTCTGTTTCAAAAATAAATTAAAACAAAACTAATAATAAACAGTCACAATCGGGGAATGTGAATCTTCCTATAGACCCTAAGATTGAGGATTCAACAAACCTAGTCCCAAAGTAGCGAAAAGTCCAATGATAGAGCTTGTCCAGGTCAAATCTTCCCTAAATATGCCATTTACTTTATGAAAACAACAAGCACACCCCCTCTTATTCACCAATTAAGTAACGACGACAAACTTCATTTGGTTTATCAAAATTACATTTTTACTTGTCATCTCCTCTCTGCAGAAATACAATCGAGTTCAGGTATCAAGATTTTCCCTCAAACTAGCAGGGTTCCATTTTTTTAGTTCTCTGAAAATTTTGAAGGATGTTTTCCCCTTCTCCCAAACATAAAAGTCCAATAATTTTTAGCCATCAACTCAAAACTTGGCCTCTGTATGATTTCTGCCCGAACCGTGAGTAGATACTTTTCCTCGGAGAGAAATTAAAAATGCAATTTTCTGCATTCTGCTGAGGAACATTTTATCAGCCATTCTCTCATGTTCCTTACTTATTCGCATTTAGGAGGCTTCATCTCGGCAACCAACCTTTTCTTTCGGAACGTCGCACGCACATTTTCTTGCATTTTCAATCGGAGGGCTCACAGCCGGAGCCCCGCGTCAAAACAAACCCTAGAATCAAAACAAACCTCCCCCAGCCCTCCCTCTTCCGATCTCCCGCCGGCGGCTCCCAGAGACGCATCCAAATCGATAACTCAAAAGCGCGTCGACGCGGCGCCTACGTGATTTTTGGAACGTATCCGCGAGCCTTTGCGTTTTCACCTCGATGAGCTGCCTTTTGTAGGCGCCACCCTTTTGCAGCCCCGGGTGCGTGGCCCAGTCGCATCACGCAAACTGCGTAGTTTCGTAAGGTGCCTACGTGTTCGGAGACCCGTGCAACGTGCATCTGGTCGCCACCTGTCCAGCGCGTCTGGCGTCCCGGCTTGGGACCGGGTTTCAGCGCCAAGCTGTCGAGGCAGGGGTCACGCCGACTGAAGACAGGAACCGATTTATTGAAACGCATAATAACACTGGATTTCTAACATGGCCGCCGAGTCTGGAGAGAGTCTTCATCAACAACTTTTTTCTTCTTATTTTTTATATTAATATCCGCCCCGCCCCGCCTCATCAAGCTCGTGAAGCCGCGAGCACTAATCGGTTGGACAGAGAGATATTGTTGCTTATCGGCGAGCCACCGCACCACTGTTGCCGCATTTTAATCTCGAACCGTATGTCTATCCGTTGGATTATTTTGACCTAGTTAAGTAGGGAGAACCAATGTTTTGACTCGTGGGTCTTTGCGCTGATGCAAGCGTGACAACAAATTAACTTTGAACTACAACTTCAATACTTTCTTGACGTTCAAGCTGAACATGTATATTTGAGGTAGAAAAGAGGTTTTTTTTAAATATTTGAGTTTGGGAAGGTATTTTCTAAACGTTAAAATCCGGTTGGGTTATCTGTTGAATTTCTTAAGTTCATGCCTCGATTTCTCAATTTCAAATTCCACTTCAATGCTCTATTTGCTTTGTCAATCGGTGATAGATCGTTTGTTATCACCGCTGGTCTAAAAATGCTAATCAAAGCCGAACTTCAAATACTTATTTTGGGAGCCTGGATGACCTTTCACCGTATCTTCATGTCGGAATGATATCATTGGCTCTTGTCGATCCGTTTGGAATTTAACTCGTCGTCGAAATTCAAGCAGGAATGATATCAAGTGGAGCACCGGGGAAAAAAACACATTGGATCTAGAGTGCAGACTCTTAAAAACATCGACAAGAAAAAATACTCTTGTTTCAATCAGATTTAAGCTTAAATCAAGAACCAAGCCTCTTAATTTGAGCGGATTTCCTTTTGATTTAAGCTTAAATCTGATTGAATCAGGAGTCCTTTTTCTTGTCAATGTTTTCAAAAGTCTGACGGACTCTAGATCCAATGTCTTTTTTTTTTCCAGTGGAGGTAGAACCATGTCTTCAAGACGTAACCATATTCTTGGTTCCTCCAGATAGGAAAATTCGATCTATTTTTGTGAGAAATGGCAATGCGCCAGTATTGGTGGAGGGACGGGGAGGAGCGCTTTAAGTTGAACGATCCTTGACTGGAGTTTTGACCTGCACAACTCGGCTGCAGCCTTGCAAGCGTCCTCTCCGTCCGTTTGTTTACATCCGAAGGTGCCGGACTTCAGGGTGATTTTGCGTGTGAGCCGGGCGTGCTCGCGAGGCCGGAAAGTGCTGTCGCTGTCGCACCTCCAGACCTTGAGTCCGCCTCGGATGGACCAAAATATTGCGCGGGCGGGCGCCACGGCACGTAGGCTACTCGAGCGGCTTCCGTCGAAAACTGATTTGGATCAACTGATTCCATACCGAGAATGAGCCCCGAGGAATTTCCAATCCAAGTTTTTTTCTTTTTGTTCTTATCGAATCTTACAATGTTATATTTCAATGGGCTTCAGCGCGGAGAAACTGATCTCATTTTTAAATATTTTTAGTTTTGAGCGACTTTTTTGGCACCTGCTCTCCTCAGAAGCAGTGGCGATTATTGAAAGTTATCGGCAACATTGTTTTTCCTCCATTTAAATTCATTAAAAATATCTACATATATCTTAGGTGAGGAGCTTGCCGCACCTAAAATCGATATTTTTGATGAATTTAAATGGAGGAAAAATAGTGTTTCTAACTTTGCCAGAACAATCGTCCAAAATGCAGGTTGTACAATGTACATCCATTTTGTGTGGGTTTTCCGCAAGGCCCCTTCTGTCCAAGTGGGTCCAGTGCCTTCTTTAATCCGAGCAAGGAGTCAACAGGAACTGATGGACACGTTTTTGGGTCAAATTCTACATTGGCTCCTTCACAGACGCGAAAGTTTCAGTTGAAAGTTTGATCGTTCCCCGGGTCGTTTTTTATCTTGAGTGAAAACAAGAAAATCTCTACAGTTAAGTTAATTTTTCACGAATTCAGTACTTGAAATAGAAAAATTAAAATCACCAGTAAGTAGCTGGATTGTTTAATTGTGTTCTGAAGCGCAGTGCAAGTCTTAGGTTAATTAGCTCACGCATCTCAGAAATAGAAAAGTGAATCTGTTAAATGACCTTGCATCGATGAGCTTTGCTACATGCTGTACCGCCGCGTTATCTGAAGTGATTTTTTTATGTTGACGCGCTCACATAGAAACAGACCTGTAATCGCAAGCGTCAGCAAAGTACATGAAAACTTCCGGATGCGTGGATTGTTGAGAAGATGACAATCGCCTGCGTTTTATGAATGTTTTGGAAATGCTTCAAAAGTTATAATATGATATATCTATGCTCTCACAGATAGGTTCTTAAACTTTTCGCTGTCATGCATAGTGAAACCAATACTCTCGATTTTTGAGGTGAAGTGGAATGTTACTTTTAACGGCGTAACTGAAATTGCATTTTGATCCGCGCGTAACTGTTCGTTTTCAAAGTGATCGGTCTACGCAAGTTTTTTCGATCGGGAAGCGAGGAGAGGACTCGGTAAAAAAAAAAAAAAAAAAAAAAAAAAAAAAAATACTGGTGAAAATAAAGTAGGAGAGACCTAAATTCGTGTATTTACAATTAGCTCAATCTAAATTTAACCTTGACTGCGTTGTTTTCGTTCACCGATTACCTGATAAAATTTACTTTTTATCTTATCAACACCAAAAATAAATTTTCAACAGACATCAAGGAAAATACTCAGCTATAAATAACGCATCTCACCCTCTAATGAAAACATTTGAGCACTCATCTATTTTTACAATTTTCTTATCGCTTTCCCACGATCCTTCATGTCTCGCCGCCCTAATTTCCTTTTTCCTTTTTCGTCTCTCTATCCCAACAACTACACTTAGATACAAAAAAAAACAAGAAAAAAGTTAATAAACCATAAATAAATAACGCTTACGGGTAAAAAACGACCATACATTATTCTCTATTACCAGAACCAGTACATTTGATCGAGTTTTCAAATGATACAACTATTTGGCCACCGTGGCTATGCTAGGAAGTATCTTTTCTCATTGAAGGCGTTACTTATGCGTCGACACT